ACAACATGACTGAGAACCTCTCTAGGAGGCAACTGTAAGCTACAACTAATTCATTAAAGTCACCATGTATCTTGGCAAACCCCTTACCTGATATCAGGAGCCACTAGTTGGTACCTAGTATTGTTCTTCTTCCTAGTGTTCACCAGCTGTGAATTCTGACGGGAAGATCCGCCTGTTCATCCACTACTGGGCTTTCAGTCTTATTACAGAACTTGTATGTACATCCGCTTTACAGATTTGTCTGAAGTGTGGTCAGACTGTTAGTTCCCTTAACTGTCAGGCAGATGCACACTCTGACTTTAAAAGAAACATGTCTCATTTAGTCACCTTCAACGGCATGCTTCTTCAAGTGCAGGAGATCTATTCTTTTGCTCCTCTCCCCCTTTTCCAACAATGGGGTCCTGGAAACCACACAAGAAAAGTGGCCAATCAACTTGGCTGGCTGAATAATTACAAATGTCTTCCTTTGTAGACCTGTTCATAGCCGGGTGGCTTTCACAAATTAATCTTGTTACAGCATGAGGTCTGTCTGACGACCATCCTGTGTGGCAGGGGTGCCTATCTGTCTGACAGCCCATCCTGTGTGGCAGGAGTCCCTATACGTGTGACAGGTAGTATTAAAGTAGCCAGGTGCTTAAAAAAAAAAATTACCAAGCAAGAAGAAGAAGAAGAAAAAACACATCTAATCAATTACCGAAAGCCGATAGACTAAATCGTCCAACTGGAAGGCTGCCTCCATACTTGGTCCAAACAATCTTGGTTCCCTGGTAGCCATAGCTAGGGCATTCCAAGGTGATGTCTGACCCGATCTCTACGTGCACCTTCTGTCTCATGCCAGGTATAATGTTGGCTGTAATGCCACCACCTGAAATATATATAACAGTATATTCACAATCATAATTCAAGCAATAAATACCACAGTATATAATCACAGGCCCCGTGTGGGTGTGGGCAAGAGAACAGATCTGCTGTCCACCAAACCAAACAAGCATGACATAAAAGATGACTAATTAGGGGTGTGTTTGACCAGTAGGCGCAGGTATCGCACCTTAGTTGTAAACCACAATACAACTTGTCAACCACATTTTCTAGGAGGAGGAGGAGGAGCAGAAGAAGAAGAAACATGTGTCAGCAAACAGAATTATAAAATTTGTTATTTTAAATTATATTCCAGAAACAGAACTACAAGACATTATTTAAACAAACAAAAGGGGGGGGGGGGAAGGAGGGGGAGGGAGAGAGGGGGAGAGAGAGAATAAACATTTGTTGACACCTTTCCATCCATCTTGCAGCCTGTTTTATTTTATTAACTTTATTAACTTTAGGGACGACTGGGAATCACAGTTCACGATGATGGGCAATGAAAGTCAGAGATGAAGTTCCTCCTCTCCACAGCACAAAGCCTGGGTAGTAACAATGTGAAAAGAGGGAACAGCAAATCTGTTATTGTTAGCTAAAAGAGGGCTATGTGTGTTATCAAAGATGTTCATAATCGTTCCAACGGTCTTCGCCTCTGAAGATGATAACAGATTGTAAAAACCCATGTGTAGGCTGTATCTGTCCATTTCCAACCATGAATTGGAAAAGTACTGGACATGTTCAATAGGAGTGGACTCTCTGTAGTGAACTATAAACGATATACGTATTCACTGAATCAATACTAAACTGCAGCCTCTATGGAATTAACCAGCAACTTCAAAATATGGTCCAGCACTTTACCATTTCTCTATTGGAGAAAGCAGACACACATAAACACTGCTCTGAGAAGATGAGAACAGCAGCACAGAAAAGAGGATGGTGAGAAGAAAAACAGAGGAGGGGTGTTGGAGGAGGTTGTGGTGGAGGAGGAGGAGGAATGTACATTACACAGAAGCAAACAGGGCCTCGCCCAGGAGATACAGTTGGCTCAAGAAGGAAAACATTAACTTCCTTAGCTCTTATACCAAAATATTAACCACACCTAATCTAGTTTACACCGGGGACATGTTAGATGCCACAGTACAACTTTTTTTTAAATGTCATAACCACCCTTCCTGCCTCCCCTTTCACCCATCCTGCACTACTTGTAGACATCCTGTATGGAACCTTCAGTGTCATTTGAGGACAAGCGACACCCCCTCCACACTCTGTCCCCCCAAACAAAAGGGGCGGTTCTCGGTGTAAAGTGAATGCTTCTTACAAACAGGTATAAAAACTGAATGTGACATCTCCTGAATACCAAGGGGAAATCCTTAAACAAGGCTGCCTTTTGTCCAGTGTTGGCATCGGTTTGTTTTTTACCTTTCAAACCGGGACGCATCTCTAGACATTTGAACGCGTGTACTGTTAAACTGAAGCATGCTTGTAGAGGCGCAGGTGGGCTATTGAGTTGAAGCTTGTTTGTACATTGAATTCTTGTCTATAACAAGTTATAACTAGCTATTTATCCCTCGGGGTTCTTCTTTTATGTGCTGGCTTAATTATCCCCGGGGTTTATTCGGCGTTTGTCCACCGCTCCCCTTTCTCCATTTACCAAGCTGGTTTAGGTGTGTAATTATCGGAGGTTAGGAAACAGTTGCAGTCACAAAGAGACGCTGCCTGCTTGATGCTGCAAGTAGGAATTACCTGATACTTGTGGCTCTAGATGTGGCGCAGACGCCGGCTGGATACAACATGAGGACAATAGGAAAACATCGGAACAATAGGGAAACCGACAAATGAAGTGATCATTTGAGGAAAAAGGCTGCCAATTGAAAGTATGATTGATGGGTGCGAGAGAGACCACATCTCATTCTTTACACGCTGCAGACAGTTTCTTTTCATCCTGGTTGTATTTGAAAACACAAATTGTATAACTAAGATTTTAGTGTCATTTCTGTCTTATTCGTGTTTTTTTCCCGCTCGCTGATGGAGCCTTGTCGCCGGAACGTCTTCCATTTAATATGATTGTGTTGTTGTGCAGGCTCTGGCTTTGTGCTCCTTTTTATTCGTTGCATTTTCCCACATCTACTATATTTAAAATCCTAACCTGCACAGTTCGTGGCGACAGCACTAGCCATGCAGCCCCAAATCCTCAAACGCACAACCACCCCCTGCCTAAACCGCCCTAAAAAGTTGTAAATACAGAGAGTTTAACTATATTTAAATCACGTTATTATAGGAAGAGTCGGCTCTATGGCTAAGTCGATGTGAACGCTTCGTAATGCCGGGTTCGATCCCAGCTGCGAGCCATGGGCCTTGCGTTGGTTTCGACAGTCGTATCAAGAAAGTCGACCGTCCAGAGAGCGATGGCAAACTACTGGACGTAAATTTGCCCAGAAAACCCACACAACAGCCAGGGGCTGTTGGAGTTGGTTCTGCAACGTCCTGTAAAGGATACGCAACTAACCTATTATAGGCAGCATGTCCCTGTGTGAATCAGACCCCCTCTCCTCTACCTAGATAAACAGCGGGGAAACCCTTGAGGCCAAAGAAACATTATTTTTAAGGAATGTTTTTATATAAAAATAATAATAAATACAACCTCCAGAGAAAGTATAATTAGGTCATAGGTAACGGATACACCAGCCTGGTGTATCCTGCAGTTCTGTGCCAGCCAGGAAGATGGTGAAAAGTGAGATTTGCAGAAATATCACTAGTGCTAGAAATATCACTACAACAGGGGCAGAGGATCGTAACCACAAAGGGCACGCAACTCGCTACCGACAACCAGGATTCGGGCACATCAAACGCGATGTAACTGTGTCATACAACACACCCATCGCAAACGGAAGCGGGCGACCTTTTGTTTGTTTCCGGGATCGGCTTTCCGATGCAGCGAGGTGCTGTCAATGAATTCACACAGTGGTAAGACAACGGACAAGGTAGAACAGACTTTGCCAACACATGTTGCCAAGTTTTGCGGTGTAGGAAACACAGAGATGTGTTCCTGCAACATGGCACCTGGAAATGCTGAGCATCGTATCCCAACACAGTAAACTACATGCTGCTAACTGAGACACAATCTGACCCGTTCCAACTCCCCTTAAGACAACGCTGTATGGTACACAGTCAGATTTGGACCTTAAGGTAACTTAATCAAGGCTGCTAGCTCCCTCGCCAAAGAATACAGTTCTGGATCTACATCTATACTGCTATAGATGCAGTATTTGTTTTTTGTTTAAATAACCAGAAACCATGAGTTCGTAACCCTTTGGCTTGGAACTATGGATATCGCAACCCTGTGGCCTTGATTCCGTGAGAGGTACCGTAAATCTGGGAGAAATGTGGCTTTTCTGCCTACACCCGGGAGTGAACCCAGACCGGTCACCGCGATGGCAGGTTTAACCAACGTACGCTAGAGAGCCAGGTATAGATACAGTATAACAGTTGATGGGTGCGGATCTATTCCCCCCCCCCCCCCACACACACACATGTTGCAGCTAAGCAAGTGGACAGACTGAAAGCACCACATGTCTATAAAAAAATACAGCAGGAGACAATCTCGGAAGCCATAACAATTACTATCAGGGCACCCAGTTAAAGAAGCAACCTTCTTTATGGTTCAAGTATTGATATAATTTGGACCTACATTTCTGTGACTTGGGGTATCATATATTTGTGAGGATTACAATGATTAAAATAAAAAAGCTGGATGTGAACCTATATTTTGTAAACCTACAATGTTTACACACACACAAAAAAGACAAGAAAAGGCTGCGCGTGGGTCTACAATTATGAGGCCTACAGTGATTTGAATATAAAATAAAAAATATCTATGCGTGGACCTACATTTTTTAGACTTTGTTTACTACAAAATTAGACAGGTGGTGGAACATATATATCTGAGACACATAGTGCTACAAAAGTACTTGGGGAGCAGGCTAATATCCATTCTTTTCTGGGCCTGGTAACACAATATTTCTCCTCTTTTCGTCTGCATGATTCACAACCAACTGACCAGTCTTGCCACTTTGGATGTTTTACATCCAGATTTAGATGTTTTTTCTTGCATTTAGATGGCGTTTTCGACGTTTAGATGGTAGATGTTTTTCATTTAGAGTAAATTTATCAAATCTAACCTAAGAAAAGGGATAAATTTGACCTCTTAAATGCTATCTTGACGATAAAATTTTGCCTGATAAGAGTAGGAAAAAGCTGTTCCACTTATCAGCTCCCTGATTGGGTATTAAACGAAATTGGAACAGCTAAAGCATACTAGAGTCATTTTGGATCTGAAGCTTCAGCTTTATCATCCAAGCTAAGTTTATCCTGTGGATCTTGTAAGGCAGACTTCAGTAAAGATGAGGAGATGATTCTATAGGGTAAGTCTTATCAATTGCTATGTAATTTGTGACTCTTTCCATTTGGATGTTTTTTCTAGATGTTTTTCATGCAAGTTTAGATGTTTTTAGATATCTGTTAACTCCATTTTGGAAGAAAAGTGGCAACACTGCAACTGACCTGTGCCTTAGACAAGTCTGCATCGCATTTTTTTTTTTTTTATACTGACAATTTTTGTTCCCGCTTTCGTTTTCCGGTTGCCTCCGAACAATTTACAACTAGCCAGAAATCTGCTGACAACTGCTCTAGTGGAAAGTTACAAACATACAGTAAAAATTCAACGAAGCAAAAAGTCAGGCAGACGGAGTGCAGCACTCACAAACACTTCCCAAGTCCTAGAGATAGCTGGGGTCAGCAGGGCCATTGTCATCTTTGCCGGCCCTGTCTATACAGGCCTGCACGCTATACTGAACACTGTAATTGCTAATCACGGACACGCTGGGCCGGAAAAGCCAGTTACTAGGACAATTAGAATAGACAGGAGGGGTCAGGTAAAGAAGTTAGCATTCTATATACAATACAATAGGTATATTTCATACAGTAGTTTGGCGCTTAACGGAAGATACCCACAAGCACAACAGACGCAGTCAGGTAACCTGGCTAGCTGTTGATATATTTGGGAAGACAGGCTCCGCTAATGTGATGAATACACTCAGCGTGGATATTTGTTTTGCATTACTGGACCTGACACGAATTTTTTTCCAGATGGGAAACGAAAAATCAAATCTGATTTATATAAAAAAGGGAAGTACTAATACTTCCACAGCAGAACATTCCTTACCCCTACCGAACTGAAGGCTGCATCAGGCTGGGTTGGCCCTAACGTGTGCTCCAATTATAACTTCTTTCGACACATACCAAAAAGACATGTACTGACTGGCACACACAGAAAGAAGCAGAAGGACAGACCACATAACAAATGGAAGCTAGAGCTCCATACCAGGAATCGAGCGTGTCCCATCCAAATGACGACAGCACCTCGCTGCAATAAGACGTATGATCAACTAGGCAATCCTACAAATGTGTCCTTATTAGCCGGAACCCACAATTGGGGAATACGGACAGAATTAGTCTAAAACTGCTCTCCATTCTGGGTGGGCGGTCCCTGGGAAGGGGAGTTAGGACGTTACACATAGGGAGTTAAGCAATTCTTAAAATGGGTGCACTTGAACTTCTAACAATTCGTAACACTAACATTTTTTTGTTGGTTTAATGAAAAACAATATTATGTTTAAACTTTTATTAAACAAAAATCTACAACGTTTTTTGTCTTCATGGGCAGTTTGTATTTCTACCGTTATTATTGTTTTTATATATATATATATTTTTATATCATAGCATGTTTATTTATGTTTATTCAAAGAAATCAACATTATGGCATACTGGTGTAACCCATGAGTGCTCCGTACTACTTCTAACTCAAGCCTGCGTCTGAAGAATCTCAGCACAGTGCATGGACTCCGTTGCACCGGCGCGGATCCTGAAATACTTTGGGTAGATTTTTAACTCCAAAGTTTGACTGGGCGCCGCCGTTAGGCTACTCTTTTCGATTTCCAACTGCCAAGGGATTGTTTAGGTTGCGCAACAATACACATGGCCGTCCGATCTTACTGCATAGAGACCAGAGGGAATTACTAGAAGTCCGTGTGAAAAAATCGCAGCCTTTACCGGAGCCTGAACCCAGGACCTCCAGCACTCGAGGCGGACCCCATACTTTGAGACCACTCAGCCCTTCCCCCTCCCCCATATATTATAACATGAGCACTTAATTATAGATTAAGAGCGTATTCTCACTCTTTCTTTCTTTTCAATCCCACTTTGTTACGTCAGGGTTGGAAAGTGGGAGTGGGGGGGGGGGGGCGTCTTGCATTATACTCAAGGCGGGCACCTGGGGGAAAAGCTAGAAACTACTGGTCTAACCGATGAAGAAGCAGTATAACAGAAATAACCACAAGAGAACAAGGAGCACAACACAGACAGAGAACTAAACAGAAGACCCACAACCACAAAAGAACCTGTAACACAACGTATCGCGGTACTCACCTGACGAGGTCCTGTCTATCATCAGCGAGATTGCTCCGGGAGAAGTCCTATTATCACCAGACACCGGGTTCACTGCCACGCACCGGAAGTCGCCAGCCGAAGCGGAAGTCAAGTTGCTCAGCACCAAATTTCCGGAGGGAAGCTGGAAGACTGTATCTGGAGAGACACGAATATGGACAGATATTCAATCTTTCCGTACCACTGTTAATTTAACTCATTCTAACGAAAGTCACCGATTGTCTAAAACACAGTTCTCCAAACTATTCATTTTAGTGACAGACACCCTTTTTTAGGAAAACAATTTCGCAGCCCACCAATTTAGCCTACAGGTTAAACTAACTTACAATAAGAGTTAACGTACACATACGCAAATTACGTTCAAACGACATGCATTCGCACTGCAGCCGACATATTAACGTGTCGCGACACATTGGAAAGCTCTGTTATAAACGAATAAATGCTGGTGTTAAAGGAATTCAATTAGTAATCTGTACTGAGAAAAGGTCAAGTTAGCTTCGTTTTTGTCTCCAGCATTCGTCCTAAGCAGGAACGCTGTGTTTTAGTTGACGTACTGCGTGCTAGGCTACGATATCTGCTCCCTTCTGGCCAGCACATCTGATCTCAGCACAGCTCTAATGTTGCCTTTAAGACATGCTTGTAAGGGAGAAGTGAACATAATATCCCCCGCCCCCCTTACTTGGAACTGGATGAATAAAAGCCAGCATTTTGTGGTTGAAGATTTCTGATATGTCCCTAACCTTCTTCTTATATGTCCTCCGTCTCTTAATGAAAGTCAGCGCTTCAGCGACATGTTCCAATGACGATTTTCGGGAATCCTCTAAACAGTTCCACAGAGACGTGGCGGATAGGTAGACAAGACAGATAGATAGATGGACAGATAGATAGATAGATGGACACACAGACAGATAGATGGACACACAGACAGACAGACTGTCAGATTTATGGAGAAATAGATGGACGGATGAAGAAGAGACATACTGACAGCCACAGGCTTCACTGAAGAAGAAACCTCCTAACAGAAAGGCGGCGGACAGCGTCTCCGCTGACCTCTAGCCGGGTACCCAACAACGCCCAGGTGCACATCCTTCTTCTGTTCGCATTTATCACTGATGCCACTGAAGATAATTATCCCTCACCCTTTCAACCCGGCCCTCGCCCGTCATCTCATTTCCTGTGTTTCCTATTTCGTTTCGCTTGCCGACGCAAAAACACCGTAGCTTCTTGAGGGTACCAGGAATAAAGGGAAGAAGAGGAAGGAGCGAGATGGGGGAAGGGGGAAGGGAACCAGACCCCGCTGCGTTAGTACGGGAGTATGATTGATGGAGCGCAAATTTCAGGTGCAAGTTGGGGTAATCATACCAGACGCCGAGCTGCGACTTATCTGCCGCGTTCATCTCCAAGAACACTGAGAGGGTAAGCCTTGAAAGGGATCACATCTCCTAGAGGGAATCAACTCCGCGCCTTTCAAGCAGCCTACGTTTCAAATCGACTCCTGCCCGGGCGTAGACAGATCATCGGAGCAGATAACACGGCGTTGTCCCCCCTGCTGCATTCACAGCCATCACGGGTAGATATGATCCAATGATTTTTGACTCTGCTGTGAAAAACACAATTATCCCTAGCGTATCTCTCTCTCCCCCCCCCCCCCCTTTTTTTTCCTCTTCTTATTTCCTGGTATTCGCATTTCAGTCTAACACAGGTGAATTACATTTGTTGTTTATTCATAAACTCCGCGGCAAGGCACTGCGGACAAGGTAGCAGGTGTTCAGTTTTCACTAACATGTATATAAGCATCACCGAGATGGCGAAGGTGTCTATGCCTTTCCACAGATCCTAGTCTTTGGCTTTGTCGAGATTCTGTTGACGATATCGACTACGACAATGCCTGACACCAGTAGCCCCCAACACATTTAATAGGTGCTTTATTTAATTATTTTTTTTAAATCCCACATTTCTTTTATTTTTTTTCCGGATTCCAATGCACATTAATTTTTTTCAACATTTTAATTTTTTTAATGACCGTTATGAATAATCTGGTTGGTGGCAGACCTTCGAAAATAAAAGAGGTGAGCGGGCAGTATCTTTTTTTATATCCAGAAACCATGAGCCTTGACTCGATGCTATGGATATCGCAACCCTTCGGCCTTGATTCCATGATAGATACCGTAACTCTGGGAGAAATGCAGCTTTTCTGCCTACCCCCGAGGGGGAACACGGACCACAAGGAGTTTGCCACCCGGTCGTCGCACAGTCAGGTTTAACCGACTGAGCTAGCGAGCCGGGCCGCGGGTCGACCTAACTGGGACTCACTGCCTTAGACCAGACCATATTGCCTCCGTCACTGATCTGTCCAGTTGTCATGGTGTTCCTTAATGCTCTCTTCTCATTAGGTAAATCAACGGATCCTTATTTCGCCAGCGACGAACTGAGAGTGTGCCACTAGACACATACATTTATAGACAAATCAGCACTCAGTGGGTGATGCGAAAACCCCCGAGTTTACTTCCCAGGACATACCGCAAACCTATGATAGTAGGCTGGGTCCGCCTGGAAACCAAGGTCAATTATCAAGAAGAAGAAGAAGAAGATGAAAAACCGACCCAATACAGATTCGAACCCAAACTTTCGGGCAGGCAGGTAACTGTCTCTTGCTACTATCATTAAAAGACCAAACAGTAAAGTATCTCGCTGATCCCATCAGGTGCTGTCTCCACAGCGAAGGCTGCCTGTAGTGGATATCCAAAACGCTTTGTGTCTCGTCTTGGCTACACACCCTCTCAGACTGCAATTCGCCACTGACTTCATGCTACTTTATCACTAAAAACCCCTTGATCTCGACTTTCCCTCCAGTACGGGTTTCAAAAGAATTGGAAATATGTAACAGGTCCGCAGGCTGAAGAATACTGTTGTAAAGGATAGGCAACTAACTGCTCTAAATTCGACACCCCTCCCATTATCTACACGACATCAATGGTTCAATCACATGTCTCAAGGAAATTAGAAGAGAAACAGCAAATAGTTGGGGGGGGGGGGGGGAGGCAAAAGAAGAGTGGAAGTGACAGGGAAGACGACTATCAGGAGTAACAGAGAAGAGGCACAAAAAGTACAGAAGATACAGCAGAGAGAGAGAGAGAGAGAGAGAGAGAGAGAGAGAGAGAGAGAGAGAGAGAGAGAGAGAGAGAGAGAGAGAGAGAGAGAGAGAGAGAGGGACAGACAGAGAGACAGAGAGAGCGAACAAAACAAACTTCATTTTCAAAGGGTTTCAAATTGGGCACGCAGGCCCGTCTGATATTCGGCCCTTCTAAGCACTCATTTTTCAGAGTACCAATGCCTGATATCAACAATGCTTGTTATGGATAGAATAAAGAAATAAAAATTATAGAATAATGCATACACACATCATATGTACACAATCGCACACACTCACACACACGTATACATACTCCTACGTTCTCATACACGCACACTCATATAGACATCCGTAATACATACACACACGCATCTACATACATACACAAACATAAAACACATGCACATACATAGACATAAATGCACAAACAGAAAACACACACATACATTTATGGATATACATGCACACACACATTCCATACATACACACCTATACATGCATCCATACATACACACCTATACATGCATCCATGCATACACACATATACAATCACATGTACAGACACCAACATATGCCCACAACCACACATTTACACTCAAATGAATACACACACCCACATACATGCGTACATACATATACATACATGCATACATAAACACATTTATACATACACTCACATCTTTACACACATACATACACACATACCTTACCCACATACTTACACAGCTAAATATGCATACATACATCCACCAACATGCATACATACATGCCCACACACATTACATTCATACATACACATTCATGAATACACACATATACAATCACCCATACAGATATTACATACACACATGCGTACCTGCATACATACATACTTGCATACATTATTTACACACACACCCACAATCACATAGAGAGAGAGAGAGAGAGAGAGAGAGAGAGAGAGAGAGAGAGAGAGAGAGAGAGAGAGAGGAGGAGAGGGGGGGGGGAGGAGGGAGAGAGAGAGGGCGGTGGAAGGTAGAAAGAGAGGAAAGAGAAATAAAGGTTTAGACCTTTTAGGGGGAAGAATACATAGTTAGAGGGGAGAGGGGAGTACAATTGTAAACCTTCTATACCAAATCAGAGACAGACAGAGAGAGACAGACAGACATAGACAGACACACACAGAGAGAGAGAGAGAGAGAGAGAGAGAGAGAGAGAGAGAGAGAGAGAGAGAGAGAGAGAGAGAGAGAGAGAGAGAGAGAGAGAGAGAGAGAGAGAGATCCAACAAAGCAACACAGCGGACATGTAGGAGCCCAGCTCTCGAAGCAAAAGTTACAGCCCGAGGTATGCGAAGGAGAAACAGGGATCTGCGCCTGCGTGGCGGGAGAATGTCAGTGATGAATGACTCTGGGTAACCCAAGATGCCAAACGTTTACAGTTCTTTTAAGTCTGCATATTTTAAGCTGGTAAAGTCTAGCTGTGGTGTTGTGCCATCTATGCGCTCGGGTTCAGAAACATTGCAAATATGTTTCCCAAACAAGCCACAAACGCACAAATCAACTAATCTGCGATGAGAATCGGTTACTAAAGCGAGCAATGACAAACATTTCACTGAAAATCTGTTTTAACTCTTCAGTCTCAGACTTTATGTTTTTAACTTTTTGGGGGGGAGGGGTGGGGGTGGGGGGGGGGTACATAGACTGCCCCCTAACACAGTGAGTTTGTTGACGTCGGGAATGTTGAAATGCGCAGGCACGGCAGCACAGTTGTAAACCACAACGTGTCAACCGCCCTGAAGAACATAAAGAATTCACTGAGAATCGGCTACTAAAGCGAACAATGATACACAAAAACACTGACAATCTTTTAACTCTTGCAGTCCTAGTCTGTAAGTACTTTACCTGTCTATCCTGGCGAGTTTCAAACTTTAATTTTACTTTAGACGATTGGGTCTAAGGGGGTTAACGTGACTACACTATCCGATACAACAAGTGCACTACTATCTGTTCTGACAAGGTTTTAATGC